ACATTTTCCCTCTACAGCGTCTGTGAGCCGCTTAGAGGCGAAATCTTGCACAGTAGCGCCACCTGCTGCAAGGAGGATAGACGAGCGTTTGTGGATCGTAGAAATACTTTATAAAAGTTCCAAACAAATCAGTAATTTCACTGCTATGAAGAGTTCAGATGCATAAACCTCTTACTGTCGTCTAAATTTCCTTATAAAATAACCATGTTTTTCAGGTATGTGTTGAGGTGTTTCACTTTAAGCACATTGAGGACGGTTGCTCAGTGGTTAGCACTGTCGACTCACAGCAAGAAGGTTGCTGGAGCCAGTTGACATTCCTGTGTGGAGTTTGCATGTTCTCTCTATGTGTACTGGTTTTCCCCACAGTCCAAAGACATGCTAGACCATTTTGAGGGATGTAAACAAAAACAAAGGTCCTAACGTATTTCTTGTTTTACATTTTTAAAATCTATAGCCTCTGAGAATATAAAAAGAGCCATATATATATATATATATATATATATATATATATATATATATATATATATATATATATATATATATATATATATATATATATATATATAATGTTATAATAGCTGTTTTAGCATTAAGTTATGATTAAATTGACTCTTGTTACAGTTAAATAGTTTGATTACAAGCAGGAAATGTTCGTGTGCCAATGACATGACCACATTGAAATGGTCTACAGGCAGTGGCGTAGCGGACGGGCCCGCAGGGCACGCATCGCGGGGGGGCCCCGCGTGATTAGGGGGCCCCGCGTCGTCGTGATTTTCAATAATTAAAAACCCACCGGCGAACGCAATAATCAAACTCTTGGGAACAACTGTGGTCGGAACCAAAGTTCACAGGTCTGTGTTCTCTGAACACCTCTCAAGCGGTGGACTACTTCATTCTGATTGCTTGCCGCCAATGTTGCCAACTCAGCGACTTTGTCACTAGATTTAGCGACTTTTCAGACCCCCTTAGCGACAAATCTAGCAACTTTTTTGTGTGTTATTGGAGATTTTTTTTAGACTGTCATTTGTCCATACTGTACCGTGACCCTACTCTTCTCAACGAGCTGCGTTTGATGCCGCTGGCCCCTCCCCCGCCTCACAGCACTGACAGGCGGCCCAGTCAGTCCTCAACAGCAGCCTCTCCCACCTGCAGCCCGAGAGCAGATCACCCCTCTGCGTACCGACGACAAATGATTTAGCACAGGCAGTGTGAAGGTATTTCCCTTGTACAGTCAAACCGATCTACTTCTACTTTATTTTAACAATTTAATTGGACCGTTTATTATTTTCTTGTTCACAATCACAGATATTTTAGTGACAGTTTCTGAACTTGTCTGAGTTTATTACATATGAGAGATTACTGCACATTCACTACATATCTATAATGACATACTGTATTCAAACAGCAATAAATCTAGTTAAATAAACATGCTTATATAAAGCGTAGGGCAATTATAAATACCCCTTTATTAACCATAGGCTGTTAAACAGAAACGGTAGAACGTGATGACGCCAGTGATATGAAAATTGACGTATGACATATACCCCCCCCCCCTTTATCAGGGGGCCCCGTCAGCGATCCCTGCAGGGGGGCCTCTGCATTTTGCGCTACGCCACTGTCTACAGGTGAATTAAACAAACTAAATTGGTCATATTGTGTGTGTGTGTGTGTGTGTGTGTGTGTGTGTGTGTGTGTGTGTGTGTGTGTGTGTGTGTGTGTGTGTGCGTGTGTGTGTATGTATGGGTATTTCTTAGTTCTAGGTTGCGACTGGAAGGGCATGCACTGCGTAAAACATGCTAGAATAGTTGGCAGTTCATTAGCCTGTGGCGACCTCTGAAATTGAGACTTAGCTGAAGGAATATTAATGAATGAAAGTCCCTATAAAAATATAATTATTACTGAACCTTCACAAAAAAGGAGCCTGAGAAAAACGCTAACTTTAAAAGAAAATTTAGGTTGGCAACTCCTCACATATTAGACGACATTACCTGTTGATTTTATGTTCATGTATGGCCAAGATGATAACGAAGATCTAGAATGGTGAAAAAAATCATGATTTGAATGGCATGTGTTTTAGTCCCAGATGGGCTGGTCTGATTATTTTAGGGCTGCTGGTCTACAATGATCCTATATGGTTTACTACAAAGACAAATAATTGAGAAAAATATCCAGTATAGATATATCCTGTGGTAATTTTATTGTTAAAAATGCTTTGTTGGTGCCAGAAATCAGAAGAAAGACCAGACTTGTTTAGCTGATATAAAGACAACATTAACAGCATTATATATGCCTCAGATGTTTTGTGGGCGGTGCTTGGTGTGACGTCTGAGGCAGAGACTATATTTTACTGTGTGTATCTCTACATTAACTGGTTGTGCACCTTTGATTAATCACAACTAAGTGCTTAATGTAAAGTAAAAGACAGTTGGATTCAGACACGGCTCAAAAGACAGAAGAGTACAAATTACTGGTGAGTATGATCTAAAATAGCTTTATGTGGAAACCTTTTGTGTCTTTATGCCACTTTTTTCTGGTCTGTTTTGTGTCAGAGACAATGTGATAATTTAAGGGGAATTGATGAAAATTATGAGTTTTATGAGAGTGAGTACTTTTGAGTAAAACTAAATTGGCCCACTTTTTAATTTATAAAAGTACCATTTTAGTATTATATGTGTAACAGTTGCAAACATTAGTAGTAGTACTAACAGCACATTTGAATAAACTTTTTTAAGGGCATCTAAGCAATGACTATCAATGAAAATGTTGCTCATATATTTTTACAGCATAGCCGTTCATTCAATTTAAATATTTTTTTTTTTTAGAACTGGAGTTTAAACTGGTTTTTAGTAAGTCTGAAGAGCTTGATTAGCTTGTTCAAGTAGAAGCTAAAAGTGTTTGACTTGAGGCGGCCTTAAAGATGCAAATTTGAAAAAAGAACAATAAATTAGATCAATTTGAAAGTATGCATTGCCATAATAAATTATCTGTAAAACATTGGATTAAAGTTGAATTTGGAGTTGAAATATTTAGTGAAAAATGTGCAGCTACCACAAAGCTGAATGTGTATAAAGCAGTACATAATAACATATCACGTGACCAGTGTTGCAAAAGCTGCATTATCACTCTGTGACCGCTTTGAAACCTGACAGTTGCAGATTCTTGAATCATCAAATTCATTTAGCAACAACAAAACAGACAGATCTAAAATAGACATTCAAATACTGGGCCCAAAAGTTTTACATATAACACCCCATATACACTATTTTTGTGAACAGTTTTTAAACTGCTTATGTTCTATCAAAACAGTTATAAGACAAATATGGGTGAGAGAACAAGTGATGCGATGTGTCCAATCCAGGGTGTCCCATTACCAGAGCGGTTAGTGAAGTACTGGACAAGATTGGAGCACTTCCAGGCGTCAAAGGAGGATTTGCTTATTGCAACTTATTCTAAAGCAGGTACAGAAGAGTGCAAAACAGTTGACAACAATGTAATAAAAACAACACTTTTAAGTGACTTAAAAGAACACACATTTTTTTAAAGTAGGTTCATTTTACAAGTCTCCTTAAACAGTTGAGTTTTACAATTTTTTAAGTCTATTCAGTCGATCTCCTGGTCTGTTATAGGTCTCCCGGTCTATACTTAGCATAGCATAAATCTTTTAATCAGATTAGACTATTAGCATCTCACTCCAAAATTTTAAAAAAGTGTTTTAATGATTTCCTAGGTCAATAGGGGGATAAGAACTACAATCATTTTGGCATTAATATCAAGAAACTGTGTTGCAAACCATAGCGGCAGCAGGCGAAATTATATTATTCAGTGCTCTTAGCTAGCGACTATTTTTTTAACCGAGCAAGCGAGATGCTACTGGTCTAATTCGACTTAATAATGTATGCTAAGGGGCGACACCAACATAGGTTCATTCTAAAAACGTAGCCCTATTTACATTTCTGGAGATCACAAATTATGTACACTGTTAAAAATGTAGGGTTTCACACAATTCATTCATGTTGTCCCAATGCAAATTGATTAAGTTAACTTAACACTTTTAACAAATTTATGTGGATTACACATAAAAAAAATAAGTTGTCCCAATGAAATGTCAAAAACTGTTGTTTCAGCTCATTTTAAATAAGTAGTTTGAACAAGCAAAAACAAAAAAACTTTTTTTTTTAAGTGTATCTATATGTATCTAGTGAATGGCTGCATTTCGTCTGTAAAACAAACACTATGGGGCGGTATGTGACGCCATACCTTTTCAGGTATACCAGCTGACCGCTTACCTCCGTATGGACGGCTCTTCCGCTGTTATCAGTTTGTCCAGTTAGCTGGCCATGTACGGCAGCGGACTTGAGATGCAAGGAGAAGTTGACCACAATGACAGGGTTTGAGTCCAGCGAAGAACAGTTCCAAAAAGCAGGTAAGACACTAACAAGTATAAATAACAAATAAAATAAACAAGTAAATAACAGGGTGAGAATGTGGTAAAATCTGAAAACGTGGTGAAAATCAGACGAGGGCTCTTCTTTTTCCGGGTTGCTTTTTAAAACTGTCGATTGGGTTGGGAGTGGGTGGGCGGGTTAATCAGTGCTTTTGAAAACACTGTTGGTTGGGTTTAGGGAAGGAGGAGGGTGGGTCAGTCAATCTGTCAGTCTGTCATTTAGTCATTCGACAGCAATACATTTTCAGAATGAGCCTGGGTTGGGCGACATGGTGGCTCAGTGGTAAGTACTGGCACCTCACAGCAAAAAGGTCACTGGTTTGACTCCCGGCTGGGTCAGTTGGCATTTCTGTGTGGAGTTTGCATGTTCTCCTCCGGGTGCTCCAGTTTCCCCTACACCTATAGGTGAATTGAATAAATTAAATTGGTCGTAGTGTATATGCGTGAATAAGTGTGTATAGACGTTTCCCAGTAGTGAGTTGCATCTGGAAGGGCTGTGTAAAACATATGCTGGATAAGTTGGCGGTTTATTCTGCTGTGGCAACCCCTGATGAATAAAGAGACTAAGCTAAAGAAAATGAATGTATGCTAAGCTAAGGTCAAAGTGCTCCCACCAAACCCGGAGATCAGCTGAGTGGATTAAAAAAGGGTAAACTCAACTAAGTTATAAAATGTGGAGTGTTCCTTTACAAAAGTGTCATGTCGTCTGTAACAGGGACTACATGGACACAGGAAGTAGTGGATCAAATTCTGAATAATGAAGATGTTGAAAAATGTAAACGAGCCCCCACTCAGGTGCGCATGACATTGTTAGAGATGACCACTGCAGATGATCCAAGTGCAGGTATGCGTTTTAGAACCACAAACTGTTTAGCAATTTTACAAAATGTTTTTTAATGCATCTTAAATAATTAGCATTGTGTAACAATTTAGGTATAACCATGCCATACGGGTGAGTGATGCTATGGATCTCCCCATCCAACTTGTGCCTCATTCATTCTGGGAGGCTGGTTGCAAGGTTAAAAGAAAAAGAAATATCAAATATTAGAAGAATAAAAAATTAATAAGTAACCTTAATTTCTCCATAGGTTATATATGTGGCTCGTAATCCGAAAGACAGTGTGGTTTCATATTACCATTTAGACCACATGAATCTTAGCCAGCCAGAGCCTGGTCCTTGGAAACAATATCTGGAAAAGTTCATGACAGGGCAATGTGATTCATGCTGCTGTTTGTTTATTAAAGTCCAAGTGGAATCAAAATTTACTATGTTTATTTTGCTATTTCCTACGATTACTTTTGGTAATTTTCCGCATTTGGATTGGCTGTCCTTCTGTTGATGTCAACTTGAGGGCTTCAGCCACAATATCCTTAACCAGCACTTCTTACCGTTACTGTGCTAGAAGGGAATGATGTTCACAATACATGCTCTATATTCAAAGAATAATTTTAGTTGGATAAACATCAACATACTGAAATAAAATGCTCAGCAACTGACTTTAAATGTCAACCATAAATAAAGAAACATAAAGGAACTAAACTGTGCAGAGCTGCGGCACTCCAGGAACTGGGTTTGACACCTGTGGGCCAAGACATGCCTTATGTGACGAAATTAGTGTTTTGGGTTTTCCAATGGTTCTGTGTTGTTTCCTTTTATCTATTCGTTCCCTGTCTTTGCCTATCACATAGTGGCTTTTGGTTTCCTTCCCTGCATACTGCTACAGAAGCAGTGTTAGCATTAGCTGTTACACTTTTTAGGCTAATTATTTCAGACTTGACTTCAATAGGTTTTGGTAGCACATAGCACAAGGTAAAGGAATAAAACACCACAGACAGGGAGCAAATAGCTAAAGAGAAACAACACAGTACACTTCATAATAAAAGCCAATAGATATCATAACATCTGACATGTTGAAATCCTTTTGTTAGATGCAGGAGAATGGACGCAAGTAGTTAAGAACATACAACACAATCATGAGGAAAATACTGAATTGACAGATGAGCAGTAACTATCATGAACTCTCCTACAAAGATGGTGAGCCACAGAAGGTTATTAAAAAAATAAAGTTCACTTTTTAAATTAAAAATAGAGAATTGAATGTCAATAATATTATTTTTCTTTTGTAATGTGTCTGTATTAAGCTGTTGATCGTAATGTTTTGGCTGATGAGTGTATTTTTTTCTTATCAAATGTCTGGAGCCCTGTGGTATCTAAGAAATTATGTTTGAGTTTTTCGTAACTTGTTTAATATACTGTAGCGAGCACACTGATGCCACGTCGCCCTGGTCACAAATTCACCCCAGCTGGAACCTCATCAGCACCGGATCGCTCACAGCTGGACCTCATCAGCCAGGGAGAGATATAAGCCAGCCCCACACAGGAGGAAGACGAGCTTCATTTCCACATGACTCCCTGCGCTAATGCTTGTGTCTCTTTGTCTCTCCCACAGCAGACTCCAGCTCGTGACCGATCCAACACCAGAACTCTCACCATCCTTCACCATCTCCCCGGAGCACTTGAGCACGCACCCCAAGAAGAGCACTACTTTAATCACTATTTCACTTGTAAATAAAGCACCCTCCGGGGACTTGTTTGTAACTCAACTCAACTGTGTTTGTGTTTTCCCTCTGCCTCGCTACAATACCTATAATTTCATTACCCTGCTCATGAAGTTAACCACATTGCTCAATTCTTTGGACGGCAGTTATCAAAATCTACAATAGATCATATTGTCCAAATGACAACTTTTTCTGTTATGCGAAAAAAAAAAAAAACATGGCAAACTACTCAACTGTCCTTGAAACAAAATTTGATCGTACTGTCTCAGAGTTCATGAGGAAAGGTGATTTTTGTTTTATTTTGGAGTAAAAAGTGATCAAATTAGACCTGCAGTTTATTTTTATTGCTGCCAAATGGGGTTTTAAAAGATTTTTTGTATTTATTTTATCCTACAGGTGAGGTTGGTGACTGAAAGAATCACTTTAGTGCTCAAGGGAATGCTGCATTTGATGAACATTATCACATAATGATGATTGTCCTTTTCCAATACACTTCACTATTTAAAACAAACACATCATAAATGCTTATTTTTGTTTCATCCTGTACATTATTTACAGCAATATCCAAGGCTGTTGTTGTGTGATGTCAAATTTATTGATTTTTATTTAGGCAAAAATCATTAGAATATCAAAAGAAAAAATCATCTTTTATTTTTAGAGACAATTTGTAAAATTCCCAATATAAATAAATCAACACTTTTTGCGTGACTAAGAACATGATTTTGATATTTATGAAGGCAATATTCTTAATTTAATTTCCTTTTTGAATGCTTAGACTCCAGATTTTCAAATTGTTGTATCTCTTGCCGGGCGTCATGGTGCCTTAGTGGGTAGCACAATCGCCTCACAACAAGAAGGTTGCTGGTTTGAGTGCCGATTGGGTCTGTTGGCATTTCTGTGTTGAGTTTGTATGTTCTCCCCGTGTTCGCATGGGTTTCCTTCGGGTGCTCCTGTATCCCTCACAAGTCCAAAGACATAGGTAAATTGAATAAGCTAAATTGGCTGTAGTGTGTGTGTGCAAGAGTGTGTATTGGTGTTTCCCAGTGCTGGGTTGTGGCTGGAAGGGCATCCACTGTGTAAAACATATTAAATAAATGAATGCATCTCTTGCCAAAAATTGTCTCATAACAAACTTATGGTTTAGTGGTTCAATACCTCAGTTAGGCTCAGCTTAGATACTTATTAATATTTATTAGCATTGTGATGAGAACCACGACTGGGTGTTTATATATAGTACAAGCCTGTGGCATTCAGACATATTACAAAAAATTACTAATCATATGTTATGATATGAGTAAACCATCAGTTAAGCTGTGGCATGAAACAGATTGTCGCTAATATTTTCACAGGCGTTCATTCTGTTTAAGTATTTTAGTAGCCCATCTATACTGTATTTCTAATTTGTAGGCCACCTCAAGTCAAACACCTGTTGGCTCAAAGCCTGCCCATACGGTTTCTAGCGAGTCTGACAACCTTGATTAGCTAATTAAAAAAAAAAAAAATAGAGAATAAGCTTTGAAAAGCTCCTGAGAAAGTGTGCATTCAAAATGATCAGAAAAATGCTGGGTTTTATTTGTGCATTTAATGCTCAGAAAAGGGACAGCTGGCTTTTTATGCTAGAAAATATGGCATCAGGTCTAATAATTACAGAAAGATAAGCACACTGGCCGTAGACAAACTAGGGCTTACATTCAGTTGTTAAAAGTAATCAGTCATGTAAATTAAGTCATTAAAGTCAGTTTATTATTATGTTTTTATTTGACTATAATTGTCATTAGCACATAAGAGCACATCTAATGAACTAGAGGTGAAGAACCGGCTATAGTTCACATATAAACAGAACAGAACATAAGATACATTTAAGCAAAAAATATTAAACTATTAAACTTTGTTGTGGAAATGTCTTTTCTGATTAAGAATAATGCTTTTAAAAGCTATTTAAAAAATTGTTATTAAAGAACAATGTGCTTAGGGTATTTCAAGTAGTGTTCAATCATTCTGCTGCACATTATACTAGTTAAAATTATCGAAAAATAATTTTGCAAGTTTTGACGTGTCATGCTAGGTTGCATATAGAAAGTGCGCAGACGAGCTGCGCAGTAGAAAGTGTTCAGACCAGTCCAACAAAACACATCACGTACCCTCCCTCTCTGCGTCAGGTCAAGGTTCTCAAGGTATTTGCTAATAATAATGAAATGATAAAAAATCGTATTCTTAGTTTAAAAATGAAGCATTATCATCGGCTATGTTGGTCAGGCAAAGCTAAAGGTTGCTAATTAAAGAAGGAAACTGGACGACCAAGCTCTTATATAAAACTCGCTATTATCTGTTTTGGTGAACAAATATTAAAATGGCTATATATTAAATTACAGAGAAGGATTTGGAAAATATGAGCCGGAGAACAAGCGAAACTATTCGTCAAATTCAGGGTGTCCCATTTCCAGAGCGGATAGTCAAGAACTGGACAAGAGTGGAGCAGTTCCAGGCGTCAGAGGAGGATTTGCTCATTGCCACTTATCCTAAATCAGGTAGAGTACACAACCACTGAAAACAACAAAATGCTATGTAAATAATCTTTTAATAGTCATGTCGTCTGTAAAAGGGACTACATGGATACAGGAAGTCGTGGATCTAATTCTGAATGATGGAGATGTGGACAAGTGTAAGCGCGCCCCCACTCAGGTGCGCATGCCGTTTTTAGAGATGACCGCAGCAGATGGTTCAAACGCAGGTATGTTTAGATAAAACAACGGTTTTGTAACGTGTGTGTGTGTATATATATATATATATATATATATATATATGTACTGTATATGTATGTATATATATATGTATATATATATATATATATATATATATATATATATATATATATATATATATATATATATATATATATAGCCTATATATATAAAGTGTATACTTTATTTATATTGTTTTAGGTATAACTAAGCTGGAGACTATGGATCCCCCTCGTGTTATCAAAACTCATCTTCCCATCCAACTTTTGCCTCGTTCTTTTGAGAATGCTGGATGCAAGGTTAAAAGAAAAAGGTTTTTTGTGAAGCACTTAAAAATTGTACATTAACTATATGCCAAAAAAAACCTTTATTTCTCCATAGGTTATATATGTGGCCCGTAATCCGAAAGACAGTGTGGTATCATTTTATCATTTTGACCGCATGAATCTAAGACAGCCAGAGCCTGGTCCATGGAAACAGTATCTGGAGAGGTTCATGAAAGGACAATGTAAGCCATGCTGCGGTTTGTTTATTAAATAAGACAAAGACAATTTTAGTTATCTCCTAATATTTAAATTTTTTTTCAGTGGTATGGGGATCCTGGTTTGATCATGTGAAAGGATACTGGAGGGAAAGGCACAAAAGGAAAATCCATTACATGTTCTTTGAAGACATGAAAGAGGTCAATCTACTTTCTACAAAGCCTTCATTCAGCCAAAGTGTTATGGGGAGCTCAAAGGGGGCATGTTAAAGTCTGGGTGGAATCATTTTTACAATATTTTTTGGTAATATGCGTAATCATGAAATTAATAAGGGCAGGTATTGTAGGCTGCCCCCCGCTCACCGGTGAGCTGCATTTACACCAATAATGGTCCAAAGATGGACTGTAAAAAATCATATGTGCTATTTATTTTAAAAAAAATTGTGGTAACACTATTGCACATATTATTTTTAAGTAGTTTGAAAACGTGATTTTTTTTAGCAAAAGACACTGAAATGAATCATGTGAAAATTACTAATTTTTTAAGTGTTAGATGAGGATTTTAATAATATTAGTGGAATGTGCTTTTGTAATTTAAGCAAATCCATCACAATTTACTCATATATATATATATATATATATATATATATATATATATATATATATATATATATATATATATATATATATATATATTTAGCAAAAACCACTTAAAAGAATCATGTGAAAATTACTAGGTTTTTTGAGTGATAGATGATGATTTTAACTCTATTAGTGGAATGTGCTTATATAATTTAAGCAAATAAACCACCATTTACTCATTTATTGATAAAAAATACTTATTCATAAAATGTAACATATATATATATATATATATATATATATATATATATATATATATATATATATATATATATATATATATATATATATATATATAATTTATAATGAAATACATACACAATGCATTTTTTGACAAATATATTTTATTACATGTTCCACTGATAACAAAATGGTACATACAATTTGTTAAAACATATTTATTTAAAATTTACAGCAATGTTAAGCTCTGAAAAAAAAGTCCTTTATCCATGTCATGGAAAAAAATGCTCTGTCAACTTTCTTTTGTAGGAATATTCACATTTTAGACAAACTCTGAGAGAATTGCACAACATATAAAACCAGTATAAAAGCTGTATCTTAAAATAATAGCAACACAATCAGTCAATGTAGTGAAAATTCCCCAAAAGTTTGTAACATTGATTTTGTGTCAGAAACTTATAAGTTTGTTTTAAGGTTATTTTAATTTGGGGAATACTTGTATAAATCCAGTTCAGCAATTCTAGATTTTCCAAGCCAGCCATGACTCACTCATCATCCAATACAATGCAGAAGTCCTCATGGTTGGTCATCCCTCTTGCAGACAGCAATTCTCTGTGCATTCCCACACTGTAAAATAAACATTATGTTTATTATTATGAAATTATGCAATTGTAAATTCAAAATGTTACACATTGCTGACTTACACTATAGCACAAGTATACAAGTATTTTGACTAATAATAAACAGGGTGTTTTTAAATGTATACTAGGGTACAAAGAAATAAGTTTATAAAAACAAACATATTTCAACAAGGAATAGTGCATTCAACAATGTAGTGTTTGTGTTATATTTTTGTTTTTTGTAGAAATGCAAAAATATAAAAGGCAGTTTTCAGAAAACTATAAGTATCTGAAACAGTTTAAGACACTTACTTTGCACTCCTGAATGAGCTCTTCCTCTTTTTCAAACAAATACACCAGCAACATGTGAGGTCAAACAAGTATAGAAATTAGTAATATTGCCTAATAATAATAACACACAAATAACATGATAAAAAATACCTGCTGTATAGCACCCATAAACTGCTCCTCTTTTGTAGGAAAATACAGTAAACATTTTTTTCATTAATCTGAAAAAAAGCAAACAAATATTAGTATTTATATACTATTATATAAAACACAGTTAATTGCATTACATCATCAAAGCTTTTAAAAAGAACCTTATTAAATGGAAAAACACTAGCTGTGCATAACCCCATTGAATAGCTATATAGCTAACATACTAGCTTAAGCTAACCAAGTTCACTGTTGTTTGTCCACCCCGCTTAAATGTTGCTTGACCAAACTAGGCTCCAGAACAAGCTTGAACAGCATGTGGCTTTCATGAAAGATCTTATTTTAGACAATAAAAATGATAAACTGTTAATGCTTACCTCTTAACATGCTCACTGTTGATGTGCTTCTTCAAAGTGTCATCAGGTCACTGCCGTTGTTGAGATTCAACTGCAAACATCTCAATCAAATCCACATAATTGAGTCAATTTTCTTAAAATAAACATGAAGCCATCTTTCCTCAATTTTATCAGCTTAATTTGTTTCTCAAATTAAGGCTGATAATTGAACTGGTTTCCTTTAAAAAATAAGTAAAATGTATCTCTTGATTTTATTAGCAAAATATTCTCAATATTTTATAATAAATCCAGAATATCAATTTTTAAAATAAAATATGACCATTATTTTTAATGACCACATCAATTTTTTTAATGAAAATTACAAGCCTCAAGATTCATTTTTTTTACAGTGAAACCGATAACCCTTACAACAAAGGCTTTCTCATTTACCTGCGTAGCTGGAGTCAAGTCAATGAGACTATAGTGCCACAGTCCACCATCAAAAATACCTTAAATATAAATGTCCCGTAGTCTGATGAGTTATGTTTTGTCAGTGCATTTTAATAATGTTTTAGGCAGGTGGTCATCATAATTTTGCTGATCAGTGTTTACTTTCTTATTACTGTAGCCCAGTGGTGTGAAGTAACAAATTACAAATACTCATGATGCATACAAATACTCTATGGTGATTGGCTAATATAGCGAAGAAGTAGAAGTAGAGTACAAGAAGTAGAATAATCAGTTGTGTGATTGCCATCCAATCAAATCGCACAAAGAAGATTGCCTTTTGCAGAACAACCTCATGACAATTGTTACACAGAATGACTGAGTGACTGTTTAGACTGCATGTCACTGATGAGAAGATGACGAATGTTTACTGTATGATGACTGAACTGACCAAATGAACAATCAATAAATGTTCCCATTTATTGAATTTATTGCATATTGAAGCACCAACCTTTCACAGTGTAATACTCACTACTCTTGAGTACTTTAAAAAGGGCTACTTTTTACTCATACTTAGAGTAATATGTTCAACAGATACTTTTACTCTACTTGCACTACATTTTGGGGTAAGTAATACTTTTACTTGAGTATGGTTTTTCAGTACTCTTTCCACCACTGCTGAAGCCTACATGTCTGAAAAATTAAAGCTAAAATTGAGCATATTGTATAATTTAGCTATAATTACAGGACCCTGCTCGTGAAGTGACCCGGACTGCTCAATTCCTTGGACGACAGTTATCAGAATCTACAATAGATCATATTGTCCAAATGACAACTTTTTCTGTTATGCGAGAAAACCCCATGGCAAACTACTCAACTCTTCCAGATACAATATTTGATCGTACAGCCTCTCAGTTCATGAGAAAAGGTGATTTTCGTTTTAAAGAACTTCTATTTGATACTTTTTTATAACTTATTCATGCTATTGCTGCTAAATGGGTGTTGCTTTATGATTTGAGTTTATTTTATCCTACAGGTGAGGTTGGAGACTGGAAGAATCACTTTAGTGCTGAAGAGAATGCTGCATTTGATGAACATTACCAGAAAAAGATGGAGGATTGTCCTCTTCCAATACGCTTCACTATATAAAATAGTGAAATGGAGTGTCTTTCAGTCCATGAAACTTGGATAAAAGTGTCAGCTAAATGAATAAATATAACAATGATGTAATAATTTGTGTTGACAATTTAGTTATTTTGTGTGTAATTTATTGTTCTTAATTTGTCAACAATATGTAATTTTAATGTAATACTGAATGAGTTGTAGATGTTGAAGGTTTAAAGCTCTTGTATCCAGTATAAAGGTCAGCTAGCTTCATATCTCTGGGATGCACAGTATACATATTATCTGTTTACTAAAATTAAAATAACACCCAATCAGAGGGCATAAATGTAATGGTTTAAAATAGAAGTGGTTTAAAAACCTTAATGGCTAAAAAAAAAGAAATGCATTATTAAAAAAAATATTGTGTCGGCAGAGATACAAATATACTCTCAGTTGTAAAAAGTGATCAAGGCCTAGTGACCTTTAAACCTGTGCTGCCAAACCTCCAACTCATGTAATGCTCCTGATAAAGTTCTTCCGTGAGTGAGCTTCGCAAACAACGCCACTGAATATAGCAAAACAAGGTCAGTGATATTGATGTTTTTCATTTTGACGATTTATTTTGTGTGTATATGGGACCAATTTGACAAGTATGTGAACAAAATCGTTGGCACATTAAACAATTTCTCACTTTCATAGGCATGTTGTCCTTCCTTTCTTGGTTTGTACCAAGTGTACCTACTTGGCTAACACCAAATGCTATTCCTTTACATAGTGCTTTACAAGGTGAGTCATGAAAAGAATGATTTATTACAACTGTCAAATATTAAAGGAGTTAATATATTGTCATCATAACATTGAAATGTTTTTGGCATTGGCAATAAATAACCTATTTACACAAATATCTAATAATATATGGATAATCTAGTTATGACTTAAACTTTAAAACTACTGAAGCATAATACAGGTTTAAAATATTTCTGTTCATAATGTGTTCTATTTAATGGCTGTCAAATATTTGTATTATGATTTACAGAAGACACCCACTAAAATGCCATTCGGTTTAACATTAATATCAAAAGACTAAGTGCACCTCTAAAGTGCTAATAAATCGCTATTGTAAATATTTATACATTGTCTTAAGCCTTAGGTTTTATTATTTCAAAAATATAATCAAATGTAACAGGATTACTTATTCTTTTGAACAATTTCATATCATGTTAAAATATAGATGTTGTTTCACTTTGACATGTACAGTGGGACATTTGTTCATCAATATTTTGAGATTTTGTTTTTTAAAAAAAGAAGTCTGAAACACTAAAATAGACTCACTCTATGTTTATGGTCTATATGAAATCAAATCACCTAATATGCATCATGTTTCTTGTTTATCACAGGGCTTGTGGGTGCTTGTGGGATCTGGGTCCTTCGTAATCTTTTAAAAACGTTCTTGTTTGTTGAAGCACAGAGGTAAATATTCATTTTAAACATGTGCTATGCAAATAGAGGTACAGATGAAGTAAGAATTATTAAACCCCCTGAATTATTAGCTCCCGTTAAATTTTTTGCACAATTTGTTTAACTGAGAGAAGATTTTTTTCAACACATTTCTAAACATAATCGTTTTGATAACTCATTTCTAATAACTGATTTATTTTATCTTTGTCATGATGACAGTAAATAATAAATTACTAGATATTTTTCAAGACACTGCTTTACAGCATAAAGTGACATTTAAAGGCTTAGGGTAATTAGGTTAACTAGGCAGTTAGGGTAATAAGGCAAGTTATTGTATAATGATGGTTTGTTCTGTAGACTATCGAAAAAAAATATAGCTTAAAGGGGCTAATAATTTTGTCTCTAAAATGGTTTTATAAAAATTAAAAGCTGCTTTTATTCTAGCCAAAATAAAACAAATAAGACTTTCTCTAGAAGAAAAAATATGAGACATGCTGTGAAAATTTCCTTGCTCTGTTTAACATCGTTTGGGAAATATTTAAAAAATAAAAAAAGATTCAGAGGGGGCTAATAATTCTGACTTCAACTGTATATGGATGGAGACAATGTTTTGTGTTAAAGTTTTTGTAAGTTTCACTTGTCTGTTGTTTTAAGTATTGCAGATCTAGACAAAGACCTTAAACCAAAGAACAAACTAAACGGTGGACTAACAGAGAAAATTCAGTTTTGGATCCTTACAGCGGTTCTTTCTGTTGTGGGGTCTCGTGTTGCATCACTGGTGGTTTTAGAGTTCTCCCTCAGAGCCATTTCAGCACGGATCACAGGAGGATCAGTATGGACAAAATTGATTTATGACAATAAATACATTTCTGCTTGACAGCTTATCATTTAGATTAAATATTGTTCTTTTTGTTTAGGACTCAATCATTGACCCAGTGTTACTGCTGCTTGTCCAGTGCCAGTTCTCCTTGGGCTGCGCACTAACCTGCAGCCTTAAATTTCTCCATGAGGGGGCACCACAAGGCTGGCTAAGCCTTTCTCTTGCAGTTGGACTTAGCTGGTTCTTGGCTACCCGGTGCAGTAGAGTATGGCGGCATGTAAATTCAATGTATCCAATACACAGCACACAACGTTATTGTGGACTATGCATTGGGCTTTTAACCACTGGTGCTTCTATATTAACCTGGCTCTGCACTGCCCTGATTATAACTTTTAGTGTATCTGGAATTGCTGCCATATCAAACATAAACCAACACTTTCTTTCAACCACTGAGGCTCTGAGATTTTGGACCCCACTCACAATCTGCTACTCACTGCTAGTTGTATATATGAATGGTAAGACAAGCAAATGGTTAGACTAAATACATTTTAGTAGAATTTTCATAGAGGCATATAAACAAAACTAATTCTGAAAATCACACATTAAAAAAAAAAATTGGGTGAAATAATTTTTTTGTTTTATAGTATGTTAAGTAAATTATTTATATTGTAGCAAATTATCTGCAGTCATTAATATTGAGAGTAACTGAATTCTTGAAGTTTAAAAGAACAACATTTATCAAACAATTAAATGTGTCCTGGGAAAACACACAGACAACAAACATTTGAACAACACTAAGCACATTTGATGCTATCATTTGAGTCTAATAAGTGTAATAATTCTTTCAGAGGATCGGAGACAACAGCCTGGTCAACAGATTGTCAATACGGTTGTTGTGCGGCTAGGTGGGCTTTTCGTGTTACTGATTACAGTGGGAACTTGGTCAGATGTCCTCCATGTTATAATCTGCTTTATTGGTGAAGCTGCATGTCTGTTACCATCTCAAGACCTCTTGGAAGCCATATATCAGGTTAGAGCTAACAACTGCTTGCTGATCTCTCCAGAGAATATATTTAAGAAATATTCAGAGCATTAAATGTAAAAACACTTTGTATTTTGCAGCATACCAGCCATGAGCCTAAAGGACAAATTAAAAGACCTGGTAACCAAGGAGAACATAGGAAACTGGGAAAATTTGATTGAACTTCACTTTATCAATTGTATCCGCCTTTATGAAATAGTGTACATTAAAGTATTATTTAAGATATATGTGCTATTTTGTCCTTGCTATTATGAATGCTTTAATCTTTCAATATTTTCTTACTAGGCTACATAAACAAAACATGAATGCCATCATCAGAATAATAAATCTATAAATACTGAATAAGTGCATGGTGAATTCAATAAATATATAATTTGGTTTGTTCAGATAATGTATATT